CCCGCCAATCCACGGCTCACTCGACGCCATGGACGAGCCAGCGTGCAAGAAGCTAAAAGTCGATTCTGGTCAGTTTTATTCTTTTTGCTACGTACCTATTGCTAAAGATTTCTAGATTGCTGTTTGTTACAGTGCCTTGCTCAGATTTTGAATCTGGGGATGGATTGGATGGACTGAGTGAACTTGAAAAGCTAGAGCCATTACCACAGTCGGCACACATTGGTGGTGACATACCAGTAAGTTCCCAGTCATTGTTTTAAGATGTATCTTTTCAAATTACCGTTTACATGTTTCATTTATTGAAACTCTTTGTCTGTGTTCTGAGCCTTAGTTCTGAATTCTTAGACCACTTCGCAGTCCTCCATGACCGCTCCCATGGCACCGGCCGGGTATGGTCAGGCCGGTGGGGGACAAACAGGCGGGCAACCATCACAAGGTGGCGGTCAACAACAGTCTGTCTTACAGGTATATTTCCGAATTTTTTGGCTGGGTTCTATTCTTTTTCCCTTTTGTTTGGTTCCTCCTTTCATTGGGAGTCCTGGTGAAATTTAAATGAGTGCTTTAGGAACTACTAATGACCCAAACACAAGGTCCTGCAGCAAACAATTCACCACGGCCTGCGTTTTCTGGAGCACCCACGGCGAACAATTTCAATACTAGGTGGGTCATCACGCTATTTCAGGTTTCCGTAATGCTTTATAGAAAGAATGTGCAGGAGTCCAATGACTGGTGCTACGATGATGTCTCCTCCAAATGCAAACATGGCAGGGGCAGGGCGAGGGGCGGGCGGCCCTGGACCCTCTCCTGGAGGACCTCCTGGAGGGCCTCCTGGGGGACCTATGAGAGCACCAGGTATGAATTTGATGTTGAAAAATTGCAAAGGTGAACTTGTCATTTACCCTTTTTCTATTCCAGGTCAGGGACCTCCGGTGATGTACGACGGCATGCAATTGCCTCAGCAAGCGCAATACGGTCAGCCCATGATGACTGGTGGACCTCAAGGCCAAATGCGTGGTTACCCTGGCCAGTATGCGCCGCAGGGTGCTCC